GTACAGAGTTCTCAGTGCATATGCTGGGTTAGGAATCATAGACTCAATACAGAGTTCTCAGTGCATCATGCTGGGTTAGGAATCATAGACACGGTACAGAGTTCTTCTCAGAAAATGTAGAAAATAATTTCTAGAATATAATAAGTATGCCTGGAGTTGCTTTCAGCCAAGATGGAGTAGCAGGGACCGAATTTACTCTTGAAGCAACTAAAAAACTATACTAAATATTTGAAGCAATGGATTTCAGATATTGGCTATCAGACAGTACAGGAGAGTGGCTCCTGGGATACGGGAAACAAACAAGGTGATTCCCATGATGGTGCCAGCTTACTGCCTAGAGAGAGTTACCGGGTCACAGAGTAGGGCGGGAGAACCCGGGGACAGAGTCCAGGAGAACCGGGGAGGGAGAGCCCTGGAGAACCCGGGGGGAGAGTCCGGGAGAACCCAGGGGGAGAGCCCTGGAGAACCCAGGGGAAGAGCCCAGGAGAGCCCAGGAGAGCCCAGGGGGAGAGAGCCTGGGAGAGCCCAGGAGAGCCCGGCGGGGAGAGTGCAGGAGAGCCCAGGAAGAGAGCCTGGGAGAGGCCGGAGAGAGCCTGGTGGTTCCCAGGAGTCTAGGACACAAAGTGGTAGTCTAAAGAGGAGAGTTGACATGGCAGGCTGCAGGAGAGCCTGGAGAGGTCACAGAAGAGGGCTAGAGAGATCACAGAACAGAGGACCGGAGAGGTCAGAGAACAGAGGCCTGGAGAGGTCACAGAACAGAGGCCTGGAGAGGTCACAGAACAGAGGTCTGGAGAGGTCACAGAACAGAGGCTTGGAGAGGCGAGAACTGCACAAAAAGAGTACTGTGGAGATTTGCAGAGGATCCCCCGTGACTCTTTTTTATTTAAATTGATTTTTGTTGTTGAGAATATACACAGCACAGCATAACACCAATTCAGTAGTTTCTACGTGTAGAATTCAGTGACATCGATTACATTCTTCAAGTTGTACAACCATTCTCACCCTCCTTTTCCAAGTTGCTCATTAACATAAACTCACTGCCCCTGAGGGTTCCTATCTAATCTTTCAAGTTGCAGTTATCCATTTGATCCTATATAAATAGATCTTAAGAGAGCAAAATCGTTATGGCAGACATTCTTTGCTAGTTAAGTTAAACTATTGTTTGGTTTAAAGGAGACTTCAGGATATATTTTTGGTTTAAGGTTTGAATATTATCTCAGGGCACTAGTTTCAAGGATTCATCCAGCCTCCATGGCTCCAAAAATCTGGATTCTATGAGAATTTGAAATGCTGTTCTCCATTTTCCCCCTTTGAACAGGATACTGCTATAGAATCTTTGATCAAAATGTTCAGTAATGGTAACTGGGCACCATCCAGTTCTTCTGATTTCATGATGAAGGAGACAGTTGTTCATGGAGGCAATTATCTACCCGTTCCATTTCCTCCTCCTATTTCTGACTCTGCTTCTCCCTCTCTTGCTCCAGGCGAATAGAGGTCAACTGTTGTACCTTGGATGGCTACTTGCAAGCTTTTAAAACCCCAGACACTACACAACTAACTAGGAGGTAGAACAGAAGCACTAAACACGATATTAGGCCAGTTAACTGGGATGACCCATGAAACCATGAACCTAAACCTCCAAACCAAGGAACCAAATCCTATGATGTGTTTGGTTGTACATAAGCAGTCTCAGGCAGCTACTGTTTTTTTTTTTTTTGTCATTGTTGTAAATATATTTATCATACAACTTTTGCCTGTTTAACTGTTTGCAATTGTACTCCACCTAGCAAAGTTTGAAAGCAAATCTTAAAAGGATTAAACTGTTTTCAGGTAATTAAATTGTGTACCAAAATAAACCTCAAGGATATTTACAGTAATACAAAAATATCTCCACCACGCGTCCATCAGTTTATGTTACTGTGGTGGCTTGCATGTTGCTGTGATACTAGAAGCTTTGCCTCTGGTATTTCAAATACCAGCAGGGTCACCCTTGATGGACAGATTTCAGTGGAACTTCCAGACTAAGACAGACTAGGAAGAAGGACCTGGCAGTCTACTTCTGAAAAAATTGACCAGTGGAACCTTATCAATAGCAACAGAACATTGTCTGATACATGCCGGAAGACGAGCCCCTCAGGCCAGTAGACGCTCAAGATATGACTGGGGAAAAGCTCCCTCCTCAAAGTAGGGGCGACCTTAATGATGTGGATGGAGTCAAGCTTTCAGAATCTTTGCTGATGTGGCATGACTCAAAATAAGAAGAAACAGCTGCAAACATCCATTAATAATCAGAACATGGAATGTATGAAGTATGAATCTAGGAAAATTGGAAGTTGTCAAAAATGAAATGGAACGCTAAAGATCGATAACTTAGGCATTATTAAGTTAAAATGGACTGGGATTGGCCATTTTGAATCAGAGAATCATATGGTCTACTCTGCTGAGAATCACAAATTGAAGAGGAATGGTGTCGCGTTCATCATCAAAAAGAACATTTCAAGGTCTTTCCTGAAGTACAACTCTGTCGGTGATAGGATAATATCCACATACCTACAAGGAAGGCCAGTTAATACGACTATTATTCAGATTTACGCACCAACCGCTGATGCCAAAGATGGGGAAATTGAAGATTTTTACGAATTTCTGCAGTCTAAAATTGATCAAATATTCAGTCAAGATGCATTGATAATTACTGGCGATTGGAATGCAAAAGTTGGAAACAAAGAAGGATTGATCGGTAGTTGGAAAATATGGCCTTGGTGATAGAAATGATGCTGGAAATCATATGATAGAATTTAGCAAGACCAATGACTTATTCATTGCAAATACCTTTTTTTTCAACAACATAAATGGCGACTATACATGTGGACCTCACCAGATGGAAAACAGAGAAATCAAATTGACTACTTCGGTGTAGAGAATGAAAAAGCTCAATATCATCTGTCAGAACAAAACCAGAGGCCAACTACAGAACAGACGATCAATT